AGGTACGCGAACCGGCCCTCGTCGACGAAGCGGTGGCCCGCGGGGCCGTCGTCGAGCGCCGCGGTCAGGCGCCGGGCGTCCGCCGACGGCGCGTCGCCTAAAGTGCGGTCCGCCAGGGACCGGCCGAAGACGGCTTTTTCGAAGACGAGGGACGACGCCCAGCCGTGGCCGAGCGCCTCGTCGGTCGATGACGTGTCCCAGTAGGGCTGGGCGATGGACGGGTCGATGCTCCAGAGCGCCTCGTCGAAGCGGCTCGCGAAGGCCTCGTGGGACGGCAGGAAGCTCAGGGAGCCGTGGTAGGGCGTGCAGTCGTCCTTCGTCGTCCGGCTGAGGTGCATCGCCGTGAACCACTTGCTGTTCGCGAACTTGGGGCCGTACTTGCGCTTCCCGGCGGCGAGCGACGGCTCGCGGTGGATGATCTCCACGGCGGCGAGGTAGCGCTCGAGGTCCGCCCGCGTGAGCGCCGCGATGCTCCGGCGGACGTACTTGCAGACGACGGGCAGCGTCGCCGTCGCCGCGACGGCGCCCGTCGACGCGCTCGTCGCCGTGAGGGTCACGGCGTAGGACGAGCCGGCGTGCGTGAAGACGACGTCGGCCGTCGCGCCCGTGCCGTTGAAGTGGACCGTCCGCGCGCCGCGGAGCTCGTGCGCGACGACCCACGCGTAGTCGCAGGCCGCGCCGCAGGGCGACGACGCCGTCAGCGTCGTCGTCTTGTAGGGCTCCGCGAGCCGGCTCCAGGGGTAGCGGTGCAGCGACTTGGGCGTCGGGTACTCGTTGGACACGCCGAAGGACAGCGTCGTCGTCGCCAGCGTCGCCGTCGACGCCGCCCCGGGTCGGACCAGGAACGCCGCGCCGCTCGCCGCCGCCACGGCGCAGGCGACGAACGCGGCGCTTCGCGCGGAGCGCGGTCGGCCCGGGCCCGGCGGCGGCGCGCCGCCGACGAGCGTTTCCAGCTCGTCGGGGGCTGCCATCGGTAGCCCAATTGCTCGGGATCCAATCTTCAAGGCCGCCTTCTTGCCGTCTCGACGAAGTTACGGCACGTGGCGGCGATCTTTGAAGAACATTCGAACTTTCTCGCGCCAAAAGTCGTCGTCGCTTTGCGGCGTCGACGTGCGTGCTCTGGAGGCCGCGCCACTGCCCGTGGACGATGCCGGCCGGCTGCTGTTCGATTGCGCGCGAAGTTTTTCCGTCGTCGTATGTGCATGCTTAGAGTACGAGTCGCGGTGGCCGCTACCAGTAGAGGGAGTCCTCGTCGAAGCCGCCCGAGGCGACGGCGTCGGAGAAGGCGGCGCCCGCGCTCCTCCCCTCGGCGCTGACGCAGACGGAGAAGTTCGGGGCGAAGCGGCCGAAGCGGAGGTTGATCGCGAAGTCGTAGCCGCCCGACGGCCGACTCGGCGCCGCGTCGTCGCGCGCGCGCGGCGCCGCGGCCGGCGGCTTGGCCGCCGGCGGGGTCCGGCAGATGCGCTGCGGCGCCGGCGCCTGGCAGGCCGTGCGCGCGCCGCGGGCGACGACGGTCCAGAGGGACGCGGCGGGCTCCGCGGCGGCCGGCGCGGGCGAGACGACGGCCGCGCGCGGCGACGCCGGCGGCGGCGCCGCCGCCGCGCCGTCGGTCGCCGCCGACAGCGAGTCGGAGCTGACGACGGCGCTCACCTCGCGGGGCCGCTCGGCGGGCCGCCGCGCGTCGCCCGCGCGCCGCGGCGACGCGGGGGGCAGCCACCGCTTCGCGGCGGGCGCCGCGCAGGCCCGGACGCGCTCGACGAGGGCCGTCGCCAGCACGGAGGTCGGCGAGGGCCGCCGCGCCGGCTGCGGCGTCGCGGCCGTCGACGTCGCGGGCGCCTGCGGGGACGCGCGCGGTGAGCGGGCCGCGAGGATCTTCCGGGGCAGCCCCGCGCGCGGTCGCGCGGCGGTCGCGGGCGGCGGCGCGCGGCGCGCGCGGTCGCGGACGCCGGCGCGCGCGGCGTCGAGGGACGCGAGGCTGTTCTGCGAGGACGCGCAGCGCTGCGCGAGGCCCAGCGACTCGCAGAGGCGGGTGTGGTCGTTGAAGAGGTTCGTGGACGTGTCGGCCCGATGGAGCTTGCGCGCCGGCACGGGCACGGCGTCGACGTCGTCGAGCGCGCCGGCGAGGTCGAGGTCCAGCCAGGATCGCTTGGACGGAATGCGCATCATCGCTCGCGTGTCTTCAGGACGACGAGCGTGGCCCGACAATCGTAATACTCTGATGTGTGCTGGAAGGACCACGCAAAAGGCTACTCCGCCCCAAAAGATAAGGGCAACATGTCATGCGTACTTGCCGGCCACGCCCTTTATCTTGAGTTTCAGATGCCTTTAGGTCGGTGGCGACGCGCAACGATGGCAGCAACGTACGTATCGTACGTCTGCTGATGCTGCCCCGGAAGGATATGCTCCTCAAGGTGCTCTGCAAGATAGTGGCCCAAAAGCCAACTGTGATCATGGCCAACTCCACTTTGCAAAACCAAACGCACGTCGCACGATGAACTTGGACAAGACCTCCGTCGTCGACGCCGCCGTCGCGTCCGTCGCGGCGACGCTCTTCGCGGAGATCGAAGCGGAAACGGAAAGCGACCTCGCGCAGTCGTCGCCGCGCACGGCGCTCGCGGCGGCCTGCGTGCGCGCCGTGGCGCGGTCCTGGAAGATTTGCGCCGACGGTGACGCGCGCTTCGACGCGGCCAAGGTGCGGCGCCTCGCGGCGGCCATGACGCGGTCCGCGGAGCCGCCGCGGCGGCGCCGCGAGGAGCCGGCGGCGACGGACCGGTCGCGGGCGCTCGAACGCGAGGCGTGCCGCGTCGCGCGGCTCGTCGAGGACAAGGCGCGCGCCGCCGCGGCGGAGGTCGCCCAGGCCCGCGAGCGCCACGTCGAGGAGGAGGCCGCCGCGAAGGCGGCGCTCGCGGCCGTCGCGGCCGACGCGGACCGCGCCGCCGCGGCGCTCGCGGAGCTCGAGGCCGCCGCGCGGCGCGCCGCGGACGACCGCGCCGCCGCGCGGGCCCGCGCCGGCGAGCTCGAGGCGACCTGCGTCGCCCTCGAGGCGCGCGCCGCCGAGGGCGAGCAGGCCGCCGCGGCCGCGCTCGCCGCCGCCGCGGAGCACCGGAGCGCGGCGGCGGCTGCCCGCGAGGCCCGCGACGCCGCCGAGGCCGACGCCGCGGACCAGTGGCGGGCCGCGGAGACCTGGCGCGCCGAGAGCGCGGCGCTCCAGCGCGACGCCGAGGGCTTCCGGGACGCGGCGAAGCGCGCCGAGGACGGCGCGCTCGCGGCCGCGTCCGCGAACCAACGCGCCGCGGCGGACCTCGCGGCCCAGCGCGACGCCCTGGACGCGACGCGCGACGCCCTGCGCGCGACCCGGGAGAAGCTCGCGGCCGAGACGACGCGGCGCGACGCCGTCGTCCACGAGCGCCGCCGCGCCGAGGCGTCGGCCGCGGAGGCGCTCGACGCCGCCGGCGCGGAGATCGACGACCGGCGCCGCGAGCTCTCGCGCCTGTCGCGGGCCGTCGCCGACCAGAAGCCGCGCGTCCTCGCGGCCGCGAACCTCGCGAACTCGCCGCCGGGCAGCGCGGAGCTCCGGCGCCGCGACCGCCGGCGCCACGCGCGCCGCGACGCCGCGCCGCCGCCGCGCGCCGCCGCGCGCGACGGGTCGTCCATCTCCGACGAGGTCCAGCGCCTCGCGCGCAAGCTCCACGAGGTCTCCGAGGGCATCGACGAGATCACGCCCGTCAAGGACCCGGAGGCGGGCTTCCACGTGCGGACGCCGCCGCGGCCGCGGCCGTAAGCAAAGAGCCGCTGTGTCATCTTACTAGTAGCTCTCGCTCGCGACGTCCTCGGGTTATCTGAGTTCGCTCGCGACGTCCGCGACCCAGACGGGCGCGCGCCGAGGCCGGAGGGACCGGCAGCGCCCCGACGCGTAGGGCCCGAGGTCCCGCGCGCCGAGGAGGTCGCCGCGGTCGCCGGCCGAAAGGTCCGCCAGACTCCGGGGCACGACGCGGAAGAGGGAGTCGCCGAGCTCGTTGTCGCCGAGCGTGCCCGGCGCGGTGCCCGGCACGAGGTCCCGGAGGAACGCGATGCCCGCGTCGCCGACGCGCTTCTGGAGGGGCCCGTAGCAGCCCTCGCCGGAGAGGTAGGACCCGTCGTCGTCGTCGTCGTCGAGGTCGTTGAAGCACGCGTCGTTGAGGACCGCGTCCGCGAAGCAGGCGGCCCCGGCGTGGCCTTTCAGGACGTGGAGCTTGTCCGTGACGGCGCCGCTGCCCCGCGGCCGGTCGGAGGCGGCGCCGTGGCGGCCGCCGGTCATGTCCGCGTGGAAGAGCATCGGCTCCGACGCGTCTCGCACCGCCTCCGGAAAGAGGCTCCGCACGAAGAGGAGGTCCGCGCGGACGACGACCACGAGCGCGACGGGTTCGGCCACGAGCGCGAGGCCGCGCAGCAGCGTGTCGCGCTGCGTCTCGCGGCGCGCGTCCGCCGCCGGCGGCGCGGCGACGGCCGCGGCGCCGTAGAGGTCCAGCCACGCGTCGAAGTCGTCCCGGCCGCAGCGGTAGGTCGACACGTAGACGTCCACGCGGTAGCCCGCGGCCTCGAGGGGCGCGACGACGTGCGCGAGCTGGCTCCGCGCGGCCGCCAGGCTCGGCAGCGCGCCCAGCGCGCCGCAGCGCTCCCCGTGGCCGCAGTCGCGCAAGGCGTCGCCGCGGACGACGACGGCGGCCAGCGACGCGGCGCGCGGAGTGGGCCGTCGCGTCATGTTGTAGCCGGCGGACGGCGCGCACGACGCGCCGCATTGCCGGGCGAGCAGTACGAGCGCGGCGGCAGCCCGGACGCAGCCCATCCTGGCTCTCCGCTGCGGTCGAGTTCACGCAACTGAGTTCACGGCAAGGAGCACTTTGGCGAACGTGGGTGAGAACAGCTCTGGACCTGGCTGAGCCGGCGACCCAGGCGTTGAGAACACACCGTGCTCCGAGTGAATTATGGAGGAGGCGGCCCTCGCCGCCGACGTCGTCAGGGACAATTACGTCGTCGGCGCTTTGATCGGCCGCGGCGCCTTCTCATGCCTTTTTGTGGCCGAGGACCGCCGCCGCGACGAGACCGTGGTCCTCAAGGTCACGGACACGACGGAGAAGACCCACGAGATCATCTGCGAGCGCGAGGCCATCATTCTGAAGAACCTCGCGCACCCGAACGTCGTCGAGCTCTACGCGCGCCACGCCAAGGTCGCGGGCCGCTACGACGTCGCGGCGCTCGAGTACCTCCGCGGCCCGACGCTCGACGCCGTCGGCGAGGCCATCGGCGCGCTGCGCGAGGGCTTCGTGCGCTCCGTCGCCATGGACCTGTGCGGCGCGCTGCGGTATCTCCACGCGCACGGCGTCTTGCACCGCGACCTCAAGCCCGACAACGTCGTGCTCGTGGGCCTCGACGCGACGCGCCCCTCCGACGAAGAGAACCCGGAGCGCGCCGTGCTCATCGACTTTGGACTCGCGCGCACGCTCTCGCCCGCGGACGTCGACCTCGACTCGTCGCGCCACGCGCTCGACGACTCGCTTGTCGAAATTCACGATGGACCTGAGCGCCGTCGGCTGCCGGGACTACGCGGCGCCGGAGGTCACGAGGGGCTACCGCGGCGGCCGCAAGGCCTTCGAGGAGGCGCTGGCGCCCTGCACGTCCAAGTACGGCGTCGCGGCGGACGTCTACTCCTTCGGGCGCGTCCTCCGCCACGCGTTCTGCGGCACGCTCGAGTCCGAGGCGCCGCCGCTCGCGGCGCTCTGCGGCGTCCTCTCGCGCGCGATGACCAAGTCGAGGCGCCGCGTCATCTGGAGCCTGCGCAAGGCCGCGTCGGAGTCGGCCCGCGACGCCGTCAACGGCCTCACGCGCCGCGACGCGGCCGCGCGCATGAAGCTCAGCGAGTTCGAGGCGCACCCCTGGCTCAACGCGGGCCGCGCGCCCGTCCTCCTGGCCTCCCCGAAGGCGAGGGCCGCGGAGCTCCTCGACTGCGCCATGGACCTGAGCGCGCGCCGCCGCAGCGCGAACCGCGCCGCCGCGGAGATGAAGCGGTCGCCGTCGTCGACCCTGAAGAAGTCGCCGTCCTCCGCGCCCACGGAGGCGGCCATCGCCGAGGACGACCGGGAGGACGCCACGCCCGAGCCGAGCCCCGCGGCCGAGTCGCGGACGTTGTAAAGCGCGTGGACATCGTAAAAGTCTATACGCGATGGCGACCTTGGAGCGAGCGTCCTGAAGTGACATGCGAGCTCCTCCCTGCGCCGCGGCTAGCTGACATGCGACACAGAGGCCACGCCCGCCCAAGGTTTTTTTCGGCGAGTACAGCGGAAGGCTAAAATTTTAGCGGAGGCTCAGCGGGGTGGGTCGCCTAGCGAGCGCTCGATCTCGAATCACCAGTAGACGATGGACACCATCTTCGAGTTCCTGTGCGGCACGGGCGCCGGCGACGCGCCGGCGGGCGAGCGCAAGAAGCTCCTGATCATCGGCGGCAGCTTCGGCGGGCTCGTCACCCTGCGGTGCCTGAAGAAGAACGGCGGCACGAAGCTCTTGGACGTGACGCTGGTCGACGCCCAGGACTACTGGGACTACTGCCTCGCGTCGCCGCGGTGCCTCGTGGACCCGTCGCAGTTCGAGGCGCAGCAGTTCGGCATGCCCCTCGAGGGCATCTGCGACCACCTCGGCGCGACGTTCAAGCAGGGCAAGGTCGAGACGCTGACGAAGGAGTCCGCGACCCTGGCCGGCGGCGACGTCGTGCCCTTCGACTACTGCGTCGTCGCGACCGGCGGCTCGTACGGCGCCGGCGCCATCTGGACGGCGCGCCCCGACGAGCCGACGGCGGCCGCGCGCAAGGCCGGCTTCGAAGCCGAACACGAGGCCTTGGAGGGGTGCAGCAACGTCGTCGTCGCGGGCGCGGGCCTCGTCGGCTGCGAGATCGCGGGCGAGATCAAGGCCGCGTACCCGGACAAGAACGTGACCCTCATCGGCAACGAGCTCTGCCCGAGCATCACGCGCGCCCAGGCCGCGCGGCGCGCCAAGGCCCTCGAGAAGCTCGGCGTGGTCGTCAAGGAGGGCGCGGGCCGGATCACGACCGAGCCCATTGACGGCAAGATCACGACGGACAAGGGCACGACCGTCGACTGCGACAAGCTCTACGCGGCGACGGGCTTCAAGTTCGACCCGGCCTTCGCCAAGGACCTCCTCGCCCTGGACGACCGCGGGCGGATCAAGACCCGGGGCTCGCTGCAGGCCGAGGGCGTCGACAACGTCTTCGTCGCGGGCGACGTCGTCGCCGTCCCCCCCGGGAAGGTCGCGCACATCGCCGGCGGCCAGTTCGCCGAGGCGACCTGCCCGATCGTCGCGGCGAACCTCAAGAGCCTCGCCACGGGGTCGACGAAGCTCAAGGCCTACGAGTGGCCGTCCGGGCCGGGCCCGGTCGGGCCGTTCGGCACGAACATGGGCCGGAAGGTCTGCGTCCTGGACGGCATCCCGATCCCGGCCTTCCTCCGCGACAAGATGGGCGTCGCCTTCAAGAACGAGACCTTCTGGCTCGACACGGGCTTCGACGTCAAGGGCCTCGGCCGCGGGACGACGTGGGGCAAATGAAAAGGGTAATCACATGCACGGTCTTATCGCACTCGTCTAGCCTACTCGAGCGGCTTCGCCTTGACGAGGAGGCCCTCGCCGCGCGCCGGGTCGGCGCTCCAGGGGAGGACGGCCGCCGTCGCGAGGTCCACGGGCGCCGTCTCCTCCTTGACCTGGACCTCGCCGACGCGCTGGAGCCGCGGCGTCATGTCGTCGGCCTTGACGAGCTTGAAGGTCGTGTCGTCGTAGAGCCCCGCGATCGCGAGGAAGGACTGGTAGTAGGCGCGCGCGCACTTGCGGTAGCCGGACGCCGCCCAGCGCGACGTGTCGGAACACGTCAACCCCCCAAAGACGGCCCCGAAGACCGCGCCGAAGAAGCCGCCGACGGCGCCGAAGCCCTGGGCCGCGTAGTGTTCTTCGTAGGTGTTCTCGAAGCGGCACTGCACCGCGCGGAGGTCCAGCTCCGTGCTCACGCGCTTGAGCGCGACGGTCGCGACGCACTTGACCTCGTCCCAGGACGCCTCGACGCCCCGCTCGAGCACGAGGCGCCGCTCGCCCCGCTCGACGACGGACGCGAGCGTCGACTCGAGGTCCGCGAAATCCTCGACGCGGTACGGGTCCGGCGACCGGAGGCCCGTGGCCTCGTCGACGACGTGGATCCAGCAGAGCGGCGGCGGCCCGAGCTTGCGCGAGCTCTTCCACATCTCGTTGCCCAGGACGTCGAGGCCGGCGCCGTAGCTACTCTTTCGTCGGCCCAGGGGCAACATCGCCGCCGCCGCCGGGGGCTCCTCCTCGGTCTTGGTCTCCTCGTCTGGCTTGCTATTGTTTCCGCCCATGGCGCCGGCGCGCGGAGAGCGGGAAGCCCCGAGAGCGGATTGATTTCTACGCGGAGGCCGCGCAGAGCGAGCCGGAGCCGGCTCAAGATGGAAAATAGGAGAAGGAAATCGGGCAAGATAGGTGAAGTTCAAATTGAACCTTGAACTCGCGGAATCAGCACACATCGACAAGACAAACGAGGCTGATTTCGTTCGGCTCAGTCGACTGCTCGGTCGTCGGTGAAGCGCATCCTCGGACGCGCGGCGGTTCCGCGAGAACACCCCCAAAAAGATAGAAACATTAACGCCGTCAGTCCTGGTAGCGCAGGCGGACCATGACGGGCCGCTTGCCGTGCTTGAGCGTCGCCGTCGTGTGCGCGTGGGAGAGGTAGCGCTCGCCGTTGACGCCCAGGACGACGCAGCCGAGCTGGACGCCGGCGTCGCGCGCCTGGCCGCCGTCCGCGACGTGCGTGACGACGGACAGGGCCACGAGGCCGCCGCGCTCCTCGAGGCGCATGCCCAACGGCCCGTCGGCGAAGGACACGTCGAACTCGCGGTCGTCGTCCGCGTCCGCCGGGAGCTCGAGCTTCGTGGACCCCAGATCCTCGGCGACGTCGATGACGCGCGCGCCGCGGAACGCCGCCGGCGGCGGGCCGTGGCGCGGCGGCGACAGGTCCGGCGGCCGCTTCGCCGGCGACGTCCGCGGCAGGAGCGCGTCGGGCACGACGACGCGGAGCGGCTTCGCTTTCTCGGGCGGCCGCGAGAACGACACGGACGCGGGCCGCGGCGCGTCCGCGAGCCGCGCCACGAGGGTCGCGTGGTCCGGGCGCGTCACGTCGTCCACGGCGACGACGACGTCGCCGACGCGGACGCCGCGCGCGGCCGCCGCGCCGCCGGGCGCGACGCGGACGACGACGGGCGGCGCGGCCGCGTCCGCCGGGTCCGGCTGCACCGCGAGGCCCAGGGGCCCCTCGCCGAAGGACGCCTCCCAGACCTGCGCGGCCGGCGGCGGCGCCGGCGGCTCGAGGGACCGCCGCTCCGCGGGCGGCACGGGCTCGACCTTGGGCGGCGGCGGCGGCGCCGCCGGCGCCGCCGGCGCCGCGTCCGCCG